TGGTTGCCTTGAATTGTGGCGGAATCAAGTATACATTTTTATTTTGTCTTTTTGAGACAGGGTCTCACTGTGCAGCGAAGGCTGGCCTTGAGCTCATTTTGTAGCCCAGGCTAGTCTTGAACCTTCAGTGATCTCCTGCCTCAGCCTCCCAAGTACTGGGATTATAGGCATGTGCCACCATGCCTGGCTTCAAATACATATTTTAGAATTTCTCAAGCACCATTATATATATTTTACATATAGGTACTGGTCCTTGCAACTATCTAGCTGGTTTTGTTTTGTTTGGTTTTTGGTTTTTTTAAATACAGTAATACAGTTACTTGGAGTTAAAGAACCAGGAATGGAGGTTACTTTGCAAAGTCTTGAACTGCATGTGTCAGTTCAACTTTTTTATTGAGGACAATGATACACGCTGACGTGCTTATCTGCAGACTTGTTTGATGCCCATTCAGCATATAGAGAACAAAATTTCCCCCACATATATAGTAATAGGATTATTTTTTAAGGGTCTGTGGATGAATAAATTTACTCTATGGTACAAGGAAGACATACGCCCAGATACTTTTTCTTAATAGGTTTTGGGCAAGGTTATAAGGAAATGTCAGACAGTCCAGTATAATGTCAGACAGTATAAGTGAGAACAGATCTTGGTAACCAGAGCAGCAGTTCGTATTATTCAGGATACAGTGTTGTCCGTTGTCCTTATCACTTAGCATTGATACTTCCCCCAAAAAAGAGAAGCCTGAGAAGGTTAGATGAGCACCATCCAGCTTGAAGCTTTAGGCTGCAGTGGCATGGTGGCTGGGGGCATAACTTGTACCAAGCTAGTTCCAAAGCAGTTAGTATCATTTGTGTGTGTGTGTGTGTGTGTGTGTGTGTGTGTGTGTGTTATCAGGGATCAAACTCATGACCTTGCTCTTGCCAGGCAGGCGCTTATGCCACTGAGCTATATCCCCAGCCCAGCAGTTAGTCTCTCTTTGACATACTTATGTCCCATCAATACATGATTGCCTTTGTCCTGGTGACTTGTCCTTGGCCCAGTCGTTTGGTCTACTCTGGTAGGATTGGTTTTTATGCACAGACATGGCAGAGACCACAGCAGTTATGAACAGAGAGACCTTACATGAAGCTAGGGTTCTGTAGAAGAGGGCGGTGGACATTTGGGACAGCTTATTTAGACGGTTCTGCATTCTGTTTGAACACTGGAAGTAGAAAGAATTCAACAGGTATAGATATTCCCGTATTCCATACTTCTATTTATTTTAGGTAAAATGTGTCATGTGTGAAAGAAATAATTTGATGAAAACTTCCTATGAAATTGCAAGCTACTCTTCAGATGGGAATCAGTTGTGCTGACCGGCTGCTTTTGGTGCAAATGCCGTCCAGTAGCAAGACAGACAGACATAGGTACAAGTGTTGATACTGGTTTTCAACTAGAGATTTTATGTAGTAAAGAATTTCCCTAAGTGCTGTGAATAATTTGTTCATACTCAGAACTGCTTCAGTTCCTCAGAGACTGCTGGTTATATACAATTCATGGTTTTGATACTGTATTTGGAAATCGGCGGTGATGTTTAACGGCCTTAGATTTTGTCTGAAGGAGTATAGAGTGGGACAATCGTGCACTATTTTGTTCACTTACTCAGCTAAGGGGTGTTTGTTTGGACTGCTGACTGTGCTAGTGGGTGGCATAGGCGCAGGCATTTAATGGTCAATAAGATGAATGTCTGTTTTCATGAAGTTTGTATTCAGGTGGAGAGAGTATAAGGAGGTTAAACTAAAGGTGGTATTGGGTTTGGTTTTAAAGAGTAACATGGAATGAGCAGTGTGTTAGAGAATGGCTAGAGAAAGTGTATGAGTTACTTTGCTGTCGCTGGGGCAGAATACCTCGCAGTCACACTTGGAGAGAGGTTTATTTTGACTTACAGTTTCAGAGGGTTCGGTCTGTGGTATGCTCCAAGGCAGAAGTGGCGTGGTGGAAGAGCCTACCAGAGGAAAGCTGCTTGGCAGCCAGGAAACAGCAGGAGGAGACAGAGAGACTCTATAAGGGCGTACCCCCAGTGGTCTGCCTCCCCCACCAGGCCTCACCTCCTAGCAGTATGTTCATTTATTAACTCATCAAGGATTGACTACTGCTGAGTGTAGTGCCCCTGTGATCCCATCCTTCCAAAAGCCCCACTTCTGAACACAAGAATTTGGGGGGACCCTTTAGATCTAAATCATGACAGAAGGTCTGTGTCAGATTGATTGGTCAGGAAGGAACTCAAAAAGATCGGATCATTTGTGCTAGACCTGAAGGGCAGGAGAGAGTCAGGCATGCCAGTACCAGAGAGGACAGCATTCCAGGCAGAAAGAATAGTTAATGCAGATCCTCTAAAGCGGGAATGAACATCTGTGACCGAGGAATGTAAGCAGGTTACTATGGCTGGCACATGGAGGTGGGCCTACACTTAAGTCAGTTTATGTTCCTACACATAGAAAATTGAAAAACAAACATCTGTGATACAAGAATTCTATTTTGGATGTCAAAAACACAGGTGAGAAATAAGGATTCTAGCAACTTAACTTTTCTGGGTCTTTTGTTCTTCATGTGGACATTAAAATTTTTTTTGTGTTTGTTTGTTTGTTTGTTTGTTTCCCGGTACCGGGAATCGAACTCATGACCTTGCGCTTGCCAGGCAGGTGCGGTGCTGCTGAGCTAAATCCCCAGCCCCTAAAATTCTAGAGTGATTCAAAATCACTGTATACTGCCTTACTATGCACCCCCGAGACCACAGATGCAGTGATCAGTTGTGACTGTCGGTATCTTTTTCCTGAAGCATCACTGCAGCCTTAAGTTGCAATTACAAGCCTGAATTGTATCTGAAATATTTCCAGTTCAGGTCAGGGACTGCTGCTGTGTTTTGAGGCATGAGTTGTCACAGGGAACATTTAACACTTTAAACATTTAGTCATTTTGCATGTTAGCGAGATCGGGCTGAGTGGCCTATCGTGTGAGCTCTGAGAAAACCCAGGAAGTTACAAATGTAGTTTTGGTGTCGTGGGAGCAGGGAGAGGTGGTGATGAATGGGAACTGGGAGAGATAAACAGGAGGGAAGCACACAGAAATGCCAGAATAAGGGCAAAGCTGCCACAGAACTAAGAGAAAAATGAAAAGGTTAGGCCCTTTGTATTCTTTTCTTTTCAGAAACAGGAAAA